TTGTTCTAAAGGACCAAAAATTGGATTGCCTGTCTACGGTACTTGACATTTTATTTTACACAGGACATTAATGGTGCATTTCCACTACAGCGCGGTTTAAGCGTGCCGTTCCCGGCCCGTTTTGGTTGCGTTTCCACTTGGCGTAGTACCGGCTAGCGGGTACTATTTCACAGTTTTTCTGGCCCCATAAAATCGAGGTTCTTAGCGGGCCAACAACCAGGCTGAGTCGGGCTGAGTATGCTAAACTAGAGAGAGAATCGCTGGCAAGGGGGCTACTGTACAACTATAACAAAATGAACATATTTGACCGTGATTTAATTGTAATACACGTTTCAAAATGATGCCGAAGTAACAACATACTGATACCGCTTAGTAAAAAACATGAATTAATGCTTTGACAAGTCTGCAGACAGACGGCAGGCAAAACATCTTTTAAAATGCGTGTTTTCTAAATGGGGATCGGCTAAGCTAACGCAGTATATGCACCGACCGTCCACACTCACAACAACGGCCTATACAGACATAAATAAACCAGCGACTGTATTCGTCGTGAGTGACACAGACAGTCTGTGGTTTGTACTTGTTTAACTTTTGTCTAGTTTCTGAACAGATATGAGGAGCTGTGAGCTTGAGTGCTCACAGCTAACGGCTGATGTTGTTTTTCTGTGGTTCGCATTGAAGATGACGTCACGGCTCCGCCTACACTGCGTTACTATAGTTACTGCCCCAGCTACTAAACTGTAATGGAAACGCAGCATAAAGTGAGCCAGTCCTAACAAGGCCTAACAAGGCCTAACTATACCGTACTAAGCCGAGCGAGGCCCTGCAGTGGAAATGCGCCATTAGCAACCCTAACCCTAACCCTAGCAAGCAAAACTACTGTTCTTTGATCTGTCTTTTGTTTATTTACACATATGAACGGATAATGTTCAATAGTTTTGAGGGCAAACGGGCAACTGTGACCTGGTGGGATGGGAGTGGCTAAGCCGGAGGCCAGACAGCTGATCAGAATCAAGTCATGAGTCAATAAATAAAAGCAGGCTTGTAACCTGATTCTGGTCTCTTGCAGTAGGCTGGGTCCTGAGAGGGGCATCCACTGACACGGGGCAGCCTCAAGAAATAGAGGACGGCTTTATTGCTTAAATGTTACTTTGCAGAATACCTCAGTTTCTGCCACCTGGCTATTTTTAATAAACTTTGTTTTGTTTTTGCACCACTGCCACTCTCCTTCCTCAAGTGTGAGCCACAACGCACACAATACCAAGTAACACAAACATTTGTGATTGATAAAAACACTTAACACCAATAGAAATCAATAAGCACAGGACTGAATGAACAATAATGAAATACATAATTATTAAATCAAGAAAAAAAAACATAAATAAGTTAGATAAATATGAATCAAATAACATTAAAAGATTATAATAATACATATAATTTAAACTTCAAGTAAAGAGGTGGGTCTTGCTTATAAACTACCTACAGTACAAATAAAGACAGGTTCAGTTCTTGTCAAAGTAATGAAAATACTGCCTCCTTCCGTTCTCTAACCACAGCTATGGAGTACATCAACATTTGGCCGCAGTCCCGTGCTGCAGGACCACACTAAAACATTTTAATTGGCGAGTATGAAATGCAGGATACACTTTGCAGGACTCTTCTAAGTGTTGCACTAATGTTGGATATACACAGAGCTCTGGTAATAAGCTCATAACACCATACACAACAAAGACATTAAGTCATTTAGATGCAGATTTAGCCGTCTGTCAGGGTGCAGTGTTTTGGCTTTTATGGCTGTAGGGATTCAACAAGAAGAAGCCTTTGTCCTTAAAGCGATCCCTCCTAAAACCCCGTCCCTGTGAAGATGCTGCCGCTTAAATTACCAGCATTGATCAAAGAAGGGTATGCACACTTTTGCATTTGAGTGTGTGTACATATTTGTGCGCGGTTCCAAGCGAGCGCCTCCAGGGCTGAAGTAGCTGAATGGTGTCATCAGCTGGGTTTTTAGGGAGCCATGCTGCTTAATTGCCTATAAAGCGTTGATGGATGGACCAGTGGGGTTCTTTACAGCGGTATTAATGGGAGTGTGTTTATGTGTGTGGGGATGTGAGAAAGAGAGACTGCACTTTTAAGTATCTTAATTTACTAATTGAATGCTGTGACAAGAGTTTTTTCCCTCTGTAGGAACTGTACCTGCACTGGCTCTTTGACCTAATGTCCACAGTCTCATCACAAACTATCTGCAGCATGTTCATGATCAATACGGCAACAGGTACTTATACTGCCTGTACTTACAACTATTGTACAAAGGACATTTTCTATCTACCTTTATATCTGTGAAGGTTTCTTCCTTTGTATATAACGTTTTTGACTTTTTTTGACTTTATTTGGCTAGAGATAAACAGCTAAATAGAGGACGACATGTAGCAAATGAGCACAGTGTGTCATTCGAAGGCCACTGTTCAGACTTAATACTTTGTCCTCTCTACAAGATCAGTTATCATCAAGACTATTATATCTGTATTTCTTGAATAATGTATTGAAGCATTCTTTTTTCAAATTGTGCTTGAGGAGGAATGACAAACAATAACTTGATTAAACGCCTGTAATGGAAAACTTAAAAAATTGAGAATTGGCAAAGACATTTTCTACAGCCATGAGGTGACACAGCGGTTGCCCAAACCAATTCTGCAGAATCTTTCCCCTAGTCAGAGATTTTAACTAGTTCATAAAGAATAAATCAACATTCTTCATATTAAGACAAGCAGGGCAATATAACTGTTTGTCCATAACTTAAGGTTATCTTCCAGAGGAACTTGTACATCTGATATGCTGGACTTCCATGTGTCCCTGGACAATAAACTATCTGCTTGTGCATAAACTGGCAATAGAAAGAGATAACAGCAACTCTCCAAAGCTACATGCCTGAGCCATGAGAAACGGGAAACTGGGCATAAAGAATGATGATCTGGGTCAAAGGCTAACAACAAGCAAAGATATTCCTCAACCCCGCCTTGCAGATGTATGCCAAGTCAAGGAGCCAAAAACGTGTTCCTAAGGTCACATTTACGTTCAGCTTTGACTACCAAATTCTAATTAGGTTATTGATGTTTGTGCCAAATTATAAAAATGGACTCAAGTGGAAACAGGAACTGTCGTAACTATTCTTACAACAGTTCAATTCCTGGTTTAATGGCTTCGTATCAGCAACGTATTAGAAGAAAAATAAAACCACCAAACTGCATTTCCTTGATGCTATTTTTGATGTGAAATACCAATATCTACCATTTTGTAGACTAGACAAGTGTATAATTGATCATTCACAAATGTTAACTTAGTGCACCAGAGTGCTTTGCATGAGCTGTTTAAAAAGATACTCTGAATCTCTCTCCTGCAGACCTATAGCCGAGAGCAGCCATTGGGGTCATGACAAGGATTAGAGCTTTTATATTAAATGCCAACTCGTGTTATCATGACCTTAAATGGAGGATGTAGGGAGCACATGTAAAGTTGATCATATAACGAACAGGAAGAGTTAGCTAGCTGTTTGACAATTGCCGAGCTACAGTATGAGCAGGGTGGATGTAACGACTGAATGAAAAGGCATTCCCAGTATTTTCCTCATGTGTCGCTCTTATTCACTCGGTGCTATGTATGGCCTACGCAGAAACCATCGTTCACAGATAATGTGGAAAGTTTGGAAAGAGACCAAATAGTTTGTCCCCTCAACTCTCTGGAGCTTATTAATTCATGCCAAAGGGAGTGCAGGGATCGTGCTTACTTATTGAAGAGGACCATGTCAGGCAGCCAAACCTTCACAGCGGGGATTCGCATCACGTTAATCCCATCATGCTCCTTGGGTTTCCATTGCAACCGATAATCCGTCCATTCCTGTTTGGAAAGTTAAGAGTTTGTGTTGGAATAACAAGTACTTAAAAAGGGCAGAAACAACAGACAGACATAAAGTGACAGAAGCAGAAGCTTTACATTTACACGTCTAACCAATTTGTCATTTCATCAGTTGATTTTTCCCACTTCTGTAATTAGATTCCACCGGGATGATTCCCTTGTGCATTTGTCCTTGCATATCAAAACACCATTTGCATAATTTTTCATTTTGCACATTATTAGGACTATTCAAAGTGTTCTCGCTTGGTTATTTGTGGAGTGTATCGTAAATTAGCTATACAGGGAAAAGGAGGTCTCATGTTCACGTGCTTATTTGAGGAATAATGATATGATGAATCATAAGAAATAGAAGGAAGTAATCACTGATAGTGCATAATGAATGCAACTCTCTGTTTTAGTAGTAACAAGCTCTTGTGTCCCTTAAACAAACACACTTACCAGATTCATGACGACAACTGTGCTCATTTCTTCATTCTTCATATTCTGAAACAAAAATGAGTGTGTTACTGGTACATATTCCAAGTAGTGTTGTGATGATTGATAAGATGAGTCTTATCAAACATTTTCACTACAGGTGATGCACTTACCACCAGGGATCATCTTTGCAAATTAACTTCAATTTTACATTTTCACACACTTGTTTAACTGCTTGGTGATCTACTTATGGGCACTGCTCCATAGTTTCTCTTTTGTTTAATGGACTTATAACTTCTCACTGTACATTTTACATATATATTTATTTGAATATGTCATTGTAAATACTAAATGTAAATAAAATCCAATTTATTTATTGTGTTAGCTGTAATTTAGCCTATGAATAATGTTTTATTTGTCAGATAGTTTACATGTTTTTTCTCAACTTTTATATTTTCACCCTTTTTGTTCTGTTTTTTTAGATGTTTATATTGTATAATTGTTTATTTTCTACTCTTTTTTGTATTTCTAATTATATGCAATACTTGTTTTACATGCTGCTGCAATGAAAACGTTTCCCAATTTGTGATCAATGAAGTTTATCCAAGTGTATCTTATAGTGATGTTTGCAAAAAGCTTTTTCTCAAAGATGACTTCTGGAACTTGTTCATGGATAAGACATTTTAATAAGGAATTAATTGCTCTGATCAATATTGAGAGACCAAAGTTATTTTTTTCCGTACCCTCACATGATGTTACATTATATTTCCCCCTCACATGAGTGACAAGAACACATATTCACATCAATTCCATTGTCATTTTGAAGTAAAATCTGCTAGCGAAATTCAAAATATGCTCCAATACTGAATAAAACGTTCAATTGGAGATTTATTTATTTACCATAATTTGTTTTTTTTCATCTTCTGGCCCATTTGTGTCACAAGAGGAAAACATTTAGTAGATTTTTCAATCTTCTCAACATCCTAAACATGGCTCTTTCACAGTGTTTCAAACTATATTAAACAGATTTTGTGCTTAGCAGAGAATCCATATTTAATATATTACAGTGATCTTAGGAGGAGGAACAAGAGACACATTCTTCTCTCTCTCTCTCTGTTCTTGCATTCCTAACCTTGTGCTTCTGACACTTTCATGTTAGTTTGACAACATTAATGTGAAAGAAATGAGGGCAACGTACTGCTGTCATGAATTTGATGTAACCTTGGTGCTTAATCAGATATTATATGCTATACTGCCATCAGATAAATGTAGAAGGGTTTGTCCGACATGACCACTAAGTTAAAAAATTAGGAACTTTTGCCTATAATAAGTTTTCATCTACCCTTAATTTTGCCCAGATGAAAGTGATAGTGTCAGTGCTGCGAAGGTGTGTGCTTGTTTAGGCTACATGTCCACAACAGGAAATGAATAAATGTGTGTGTTTGTGTCCATGCGACGGTCCGACCATCCGGAAGGTGGAGCTTCCCTGAGCCAGGCCGGCTATTTAAAACGCATGAAGGAATGTCAGGGAGACAGCTGGGGGGGGATAGTGGGAGGTTGACTTTAACCATCTCCCTCAATCACCCTCACAAAAACTCATCACTAACCTATCACTTACTGATACTGCCTGTAACTGTATGAATTCACCTCAGGCTTATGTTGGGAGGAAATGTTAATAATAACACTGCTGTTATCCAGCTGACAAGTCAAGGGCGGGGGGGCACGGAGCATCCAAGTGGGTCAGTTTTCAAGAACGTTCCACTCCAGATCTCAAGGGTCCCATGTGACTTCCTCTCATGAGTGAGACTGACCTTGAGTGGAGATGTAAGGCTCACTGTATATGTGACACAATATGGATGTGTGTGGCTGTGTACACAAAAGAGCCAAGGGAACAAATAAGGAACAGATAAAGTGGTGAGTGTGTTTGAATATGTCACAGAGACAAAAAGGTGCATGGTGCTAAAACACTATTTACCAGCATGGGTGAATATCAATTCAATACTTCACATGATTAGCATAATTCTTTGTGCCATTTGACTCAGCAGGCTAGCAAGCAATGGATTCAGATCCAGATGGCTCTCAGATATGTTCACAGTTTGAATTTTAAAACTTTCTCTTAAATAAGCTCTAATCAAAGTCAGAACTGTTCTTGATGCTAGTTTAAAGCTGGATGAGAAACAGTATTGAAGCTCAGTAAAATCTCAAGTAATAAGAAAAGGGCAGCACATGAGAAACCCAGGAAATGTTGTCTCTTGTCACAAAAAACAACTCAAAGATCAAAGTTTGGAATGGTCACCTGGGGTATAGTTAGCCTAAAAACTAGCGAGACTATCCTTTAGCTTTACATACAGTAAATAAATGCGTTAAATAATTTGCATACTGTACTGTTAACACCATAGTTAATCTGTTCATGAATGAGACAAACATTCCCTGGTCTAGAATATCGAGACTTCAACATTAAGCCTCAGCATCCGAGAGGTCCTGACTTAGTCACGAGCTAACAGGTAATCAAACTAGAAACTGGTCATCCTCAAATAGCGCTGGAATCTGCAGTTATTTAAGCGGAGTTCCTGGAGAACACTACAGAATTCACCCAACTGTGTGCAATGTTTGATGATGTTATGAACCCACACACTACAACGTTTACTGTTCCTGTTTGTAGGACTTCCAAAGCAGGTACAACGCAGAAACAGTTGTCATATCTTCCATAATTCATTTTGGAAAGAAACCAAACACTGTTTCTAGGATTAACGTAAACCTGTTGTTGGGACTTTAGGCCATGCCTCATCAATGGCGCATTTATTTGGGTGACGCAAGTAAACTCAAATGTTACCGCAATAAAAACGTATATTCGTGTCCGGTGTGAAGGCACCATTGGGAGACCTTCTGTGGCAATTGTTTTCATTAGTTGTATGATAGTGGGGCATCCATTTAATGATTCTATTTTAGCCTTTATAAAAGCATTTAAACAGAGAAGTGTTAATCCAGCTTCAAGTCTCATCTGCTATTTACTTATGAATAAATGGCTTGATTTCCGGGACATTTGCTTTTCAGTTAATGGAAGACATAGGTGGCCAAATATTAACTGTTTGTCTATATACCTGCCACTGTTGTGTTGTGTTCTGGTTGTGCATGTGAGTGTGTAAACAACTAAGTGTAAGGGTCTTGGACCTCACCAGTCCAACCAAGGAGGAGAGGACCATCCCCACTCGAACCACCACCCTATCTTCGGGGCTCAATGCTGGCCGAACCTTTAGGTTGTAGTTGGTAAAGAGCTTCACCATCAGAGACTTCTCCTCGTCTGTCGCACCTAAATCAAAAATACATAGAAGGCTTCATTGATTTCTGTTAATAATGGATTATGTTCATAACCCCTTAAGAAAACAATAGCAGTTAACGTGGCGACTATTGGGAACCAATTTCCATTTATATGCTCAATGCCAGGCCCTCTTACTGCATAAAATTCCTAGAATGTACCCAAAGACTTTTAACTAAAGTTTCAGCAAGGTGCAAAATCCAACACACTGGTGACAAGTGAGGGTGTGGCTTACTGATTGGCAGGTAGGGTGTGTCGTGCATCCAAATATGACACCTGGATGTACCCTCTTGTTTTGCAGCTGTGTCAAAAGTGCACATTGAGTTGATGCTTCCCAGAATTAGTTAGCACAGTAGAAAGCCCTAACCCTTAGAAAGCCAGACTAGGGTTAGGTCAATGAAATCAATGGGACATCCTACCCGACTAGATATAATCCCATCTATTGTCTCAGCACCAACTCACATTGAAAAAAACAAAAGGTATACACAAATACAATGAGTGTTGGTGGAAGAGAGTGGAGCGGAGGCTTGTGAAGGGATTGGGTAAAAGATAAAAGTGAAGTGTGTGACTTCATGCAAAGGGAGAATGGTATGGTTAATTTCCAAATAGTCATTATCTTCTGTTCTTTTGCTTGGTTTGCAGTCTTCCTTATCAATGGGAATTTTCAGGATCTTTGATTTTAGTTAGACATTTTCCTTGAAAGATACAATTACCACCATTCAAATGGGCAAATAACATAACAATAAGCTGTAAGAAATGTTTCATTATCAACATTTAACACTACTGTAACTTATACCGTAAAAAGCTATGGTCAAAATGGTGAAAAGCCAATGCAAAATATCCCTCGGACCATAATATATGTCTCATAGAAGCATCAGTTATTGTGGCTTCCTACTCGCCTGTAAAGCTGTCTACCTAACAAAATGCAAACGCTTACACCCCACACCATATTCATACATTATTCCTGCTTTATTTCCAACCATTTCCTCCTCCAGTTTTGGAAGGTTAGACACATTTATAATCGGCAGCTCTGGTGATGCAGCATTCATCACGTTTGGCATGGCTGTGGCCCCGGCAGGATCTGACCTGACAGGAATAAATGACAACGATCACCAAGCAAGGCAGCCCTATTAGCTAGGCGGAGGGAAACATGGCTGCTGATGGGCGAGGCTGTGAGGTAGTTTTAAATAGATGGGATTTAGCTTTTTTCACTCTTTTCTTATTTCAACTGACTTGGTAATTAGACAGATTAAAGTACAAAGTTGATGTTATGCCATTTTGAAGGGTAGTGTTGGGCCAGTGAAGGATGCTTGCAATGCATATAACTGAAATAAATAAGCACATTTGAATAAATGACATAGGACAAAGGAAGTGTTTATGAGAAATCTAATGATAAAAAGTAAAAAGTTGGCACACTTATGGCGCTTTTCCACTGCGGGACCTAGCACGGCATAGTATGGTATGGTTAGGCCTTGGCTCACTTTATGCTGCATTTCCATTACAGTTTACCAACTGGGGTAGCAACTATAGTAACGCAGTGTAGACGGGGCGATCGGCTGTTCGGCGGGCGTAAAACTGCCGTGATGTCATCTTCAATGCGAACCACAAAACCAAAACATTAGCTGTTAGCACTCAGAGCTCACAGCTCCTCATATCTGTTCAGAAACTAGACAACAGTTAAACAAGTGCAAACCACAGACTGTCTGTGTAATGGTGAATACAGTTGCTGGTTTATTTATGTCTGTAGGCCGTTGTTGTGAGTGTGGACGGAGCATATACAACGTTAGCTTAGCCTGATTGATCAGATCTCCATTTAGAAAACACACATTTTAAAAGATTTTTCGCCTGCCATCTTGTCTGCAGACCGGTATCAGTATGTTGTTACTTCGGCATCATTTTGAAACGTGTATAACAATTAAATCACGGTAAAATATGTTCATTTTGTTATAGTTGTAGCCACCTTGCCAGCGATTCTATCTGACTATTCAGCAGTCGAGAGTGTTTATGTCACTAGTTTAGCATATTCAGCCCGGTTGTTGGCCCGGTAAGAACATCGATTTTGGAGGGCCAGAAAAAAGGTGAAAAAGTAGCCCTGAGCCGGAACTACCCCTAGTGGAAAAGCAAAAAAAAGCAGGTCTGGTTTGGCCCGGCCCGCTTAAACCGTGCTGCAGTGGAAAAGTGGAAAAGTGATTTCATATGGACATTGAGAGCAGTTCAATATGAACCAAATCTTTTTCTGAGTGGTTTGAATACACTGTGCTTGTCCATAACAAGTTGGTTAGTTATCAAATCAACAGCCTCAAACAAGAAAGACAATTATTCTTTATGAAGAAATGGAGGCCACTTAACTGACCAACGATTTATTATGGTTAAAGTAACTTTCGATGGTATTTAGTTAAGTTTTTGGAGTTGTGACCTGACTTTACCTTAAACATTACCCTAACGGCCCGTCTACACTACAGGCATCGAAAAATGCTTTCAACGCTTCGCCCATTCACTTGAATGGGGTGACGTAGAAGATGTTTAATCTTCGCCAAACTGCATTGTGGGGAGCATGGCATGGCTTTGCAAGCATCACGAGCATCAGA